GAGCTCTTGGCAGTGATTTGAAATGTCTGGGATCAAATTCTGAAGTCTTGAGAGCTTGAACCTATTCAGCCACCTCCCGCGAGCTTGAATGGTCGGGATTGAGCTGGAGGGGCTGCGGATTGACGCCAAGTGGAAGGGAACATCGTCCTAGAGGGCTCGTGAGCTTCAAGCCGGTGAGCCACAGCCTTTGGAAGGCTTTGGGTCAGGATCGGCTGGGGTGACCACCAGAGCTTATTCTCCATTGGTTCCAACAGCCGTCGGCCGGGGTTTGGGTCGGGTTGACCTAGAAAGAACAATGGGGACATGCTGGAGTTGAGGGTGAGCTCAATTGGGCCTGGGGAGGTTCAACTTGATCTGGTGGCTCGGTTGGACCCAAACCTGCTCGGTTTGGGTCGAATTGCATACCCTGGGCTTGAAGTGGGAGGTAGGTCTGGGTCTGGTCCACCCAATGCAGGCGGAAATTGGGTTCAATTTGATCTGGATTCAAAGGTGGCTTGGATTGATCCAAATCTTCTCGGTTCGGGTTGATTTGGGCTCAACCCAGGTCAGGCCAGACCCTGTGCTTGATGTGGGAGGTGGGTCTTGGTCTGGTGCACCTAATGCAAGTGGCAATTGGGTTCAATTTGATCTGGGTTCAAATATGGCTCGGGTCCATATGGTTTTGGCTACTTTGAGCTAGCCTAAAACCTGACCCAAGTCAGCCCAAGGCATGGGCTGGCTGGAGGAAGTGTATAGGACCTAGGGCCACCTAATATAAGTGTTGATTATGTTCAATTTAGCTTAGGGAAAGGATTGGCTTAATCTCAAGTGGTTTTGGCCACTTTAGGTTAGCCTAACTCTTGAACCAAGTGGAGCCAGAGGTTGAGCTAGTTAAGGGAGACGTATTGGGTCATGGGAGACCCAATGGAAGTGTTGGTCAAGTTTGATTTGACTTAGGACAAGAATTGGATCAATCCCAAGTGATTTTGGCCACTTTGGGTTAGCCTAACTCTTGACCCAAGTGGAGCCTGAGGCTGGGCTAGTCAAGAGAGGTGCATTGGGTCAAGGGGGACCCAATGACACATTGATTTGGATTCAATTTGATTAAGGTTGAGAGATGGTTCAAAGGATGCCTCTCTTTGGTCACTTGCGTCAAGCCAAAAGGCTAACCCAAGTGAGCCCAAGGCTTGGGTCTCCAAGAGGGGTCTCTTGTGTGCCCAAGGAGTCACCCCTTGGGTTCAAAGGGAATTGGAATGATCTTGGTCAAGTGGATTAGGTGGTTTAAGGTGTATGGGCCATTTGGTCAACTTGGTTGACTTGAGTTGACCCAGGACTAGGAGTTGGGTCAAAAGGGTTCCAAAGGTCAATTGGAAACACTTGAGAGAGGTTTCAAAGATTGATGATCAAATCAAGTCAAGTCTAGGCCAAAAGTCCAAAAATTCCCTTAAGGGAATTTTGGTCATTTTTGCCCTGATTAAATTCAAGGCCAAATTGAATCTGGGAAGATGTAGACTATTGTTCAATAAGTCAAAATCAAGGTATTGGAGATGGTGAAAGGGTTTGGAGGGGGCTCCAAGGTCAAGTTCTACTAGGTGTAAGGTCTAGTGGCATTGATTATAAATATTTGAAGGTTTTGCAACCTTTGGAATTGGATTAAGTTTGTGGGGTTAGAGACCTTAAACTAGGCTTAAATTTGGAGGATCGACACTAAAAACATGTCGCATCAATATGAAATTGATATACCCTGAATCAGATGTCAATTGATTGGGTTTCAAGGTGATGGTAAAATCACTTAGAAAGGGCTTTAGGACCTAAGTCTTTAGCCTAAGAGTTCTGGGTTTGGATTGAGTTAAGATTTGGATTAAGCCTAAGGGCTAGGAACTAGGAAGATCCTAGGATATAGGACTCAGGGAGGATTTAAGAGTGACCTCATACAAAAAAGAGGTCAACAGATTGGAGATAGAATTATAGCTTTAAATATTATTGTTGACGATAAGATTGTTAATATTATAAGTGCTTATGCTCCTCAAGTAGATTTGGATATGAGTTCTAAATTAATTTTTTGGAATGACTTAGAAGAATTATTACAAAAGATACCTCTAAAAGAAAGAGTTTTTATTGTAGGAGATTTAAATGGACATGTTGGTAGAGAGGTAGATGATTTTAAAAGCATTTATGGTGGCTTTGGTTTTGGAACAACAAATGAAGGTGGAAAGACCATATTAGATTTTTGTTTAGTTTATGATTTTTTAATTGTTAATACCTTATTTAAGAAACGAAATAAGCATTTCATCACTTATAAAAATGGCTATAGTATAACCCAGATTGATTATTTTCTTATAAGAAAATTAGATCGTTTAGATTGCAAAGATTGTAAAGTTATTTCGAATAGAAATTTATGTACACAACATCAATTCTTAGTTTTGGATTTTATAATAAAGGTAATAAAAAATAAAGTAAAATGATATTCTAAAATTAAATGGGGGCTTTTAAAGAATATTAACAAAATTATTTTTTAGAGTAAGATTTTAGATCTTAAGATTTTATCTATGCATGAGGATGCTAATGTTATGTGGGAAGAAGTGGCTAGTAATATTAAGAATATTGTAAAAGATATGCTTGGAGTATCAAAGAGAAAATCTCCTAATAGTAAAAATAGTTGGTGGTGGAATCCAAATGTGCAAGAAAAGATTAAGAATAAGATTTGTTATAAAAATTGGTTTAATTTTAAAAATTATGATAATTGGGAAAGATATAAAGAGGCTCGTAAGGAATCTAAGAAAGCAATATGCGATGCTAAGACTTTAGCTTTTAATGATTTATATAATAGATTAGATACTAAGGAGAGAGAAAGATATATGTATAAGTTAGTCAAACAAATAGATAAGAGTAGTAAGGATTTAGTTTAAGTGAAGTGTATTAAGGATGAAGATCAAAAAAATACTTTTCTTAGAAGATAATATTCAACAAAGGTGGATGAAATATTTTGCTAAACTTTTTAATGAAAATTGTGATAATAAGATTGACTATAGTGATCTTAGCATCCTAAATGAAAATAAAGATATATGTTTTTATCGGCGTATTAGTGAAACTGAAGTTAGACATGCTTTAAAGAAAATGAAGGGTGGAAAGCTGTTGGACCTGATGATATTCCAATAGAGGTGTGGAAATGCTTAAGAGATGAAGGTATTTCTTGGCTTACTAAACTTTTTAATACTATTTTGAAGACTAAAAAGATGCCACTTGAGTGGAGAATGAGTGTGTTAATTCTTATTTTTAAGAATAAAGGTGATGCATAAGATTGCACGAATTATAGAGGAATTAAGTTAATGTGTCATACTTTAAAACTATGGGAGTGAGTTATGGAGCATAGGTTGCGGCATGATACTAATGTTTCTCAAAATCAATTTGGATTCATGCCGGGTAGGTCGACTATGGAAGCCATACATTTATTAAGAGGTTTGATGGTGAAATATAGAGAAAATAAGGAGGATCTACATATGATATTTATTGATTTAGAAAAAGTATATGATAAAGTTCCAAGAAAAGTGCTATGGAGAGTTCTTGAAAAGAAAGGAGTTAATAATGCTTATATTCAAATCATTAAAGATATGTATGCATGAGTTATTACTTGTGTTCAAACACAAGGTGGATTGACCAAGTATTTCCCAATTTCGGTTGTGTTACATCAAGGATCAGCCTTAAGCCCATATCTTGTTGTTTTAGTCATGAATGTTCTCACTAGACATTTGCAAGATGATGTACCTTGGTGTATGCTTTTTGCTGATGATATTCTTCTTGTTGACAAGACTAGAGAGGGAGTTGAAGGTAAACTTGAATTATGGAGGTCAACCTTAGAGTCTAAAGGTTTTCGCTTAAGTAGATCTAAAACGGAATATATGGAGTGTAATTTTAGCAGTAATAGTCCTAGTGAGGGGATTGTGACTTTAGGCGATCAAGTCATTAATAAGAGTACACGTTTTAGATATCTTGGATCTATTGTTCAGAGTGATGGTGAAATAGATGGGGATATTATCAGCAGAATTCAAGTTGGATGGTTGAAGTGGAGGAATGCATCGGGCTTGTTATGTGATAGAAATGTACCCCTCAAACTTAAGGGAAAATTCTATAAGATGATAGTGAGGCCTGCAATGCTATATGGTGCCGAATGTTGGCCTTTAAAAGAGAAGCATAATACTAAGTTAAGTGTGGCAGAGATGAGAATGCTCAGGTGGATGAGTGGCTTTACCCTTAGAGATAGGATACGAAATAAGCATATACGTGAAAAGGTTGGAGTAGCTCCAATAGAAGATAAAATTAGAGAGAGTCGCCTTAGATGGTTTGGTCACATAAAAAGGCGGCCTTCCGACGACCCAGTTAAGAGAGTAGAGGTATTAGATTTGACTTGTGTTAAGAAAGGTAGGGGTAGACCTAAAAAGACTTGGTTAGAAAATATTAGGAATGACCTTTCTTTATTAGATTTAAACGAGAATTTGACTTTTAATAGGACACAATGGAGAAAAAAGATTCATGTAGCCGACCCCACGTAGTGGGATAAAGGCTTCATGTTGTTGTTGTTGTCGAT